ATCATCAGTCCAAAAAACTCTGCTGTCGTGTATACGAACAGGCAAAATGCAAAAATATTTTCATTGACACTTTACTCCACCCTTTACTTGTTTCAAATCTTTATAAGTTTTATCCTTCTGCCAAACACAAAAGAGATTGAAAAATGCCAAAAATCCTGTTACCATTGACTTTCATAGTATTTGTTTTTCCTACTATGGAAGTTAATGGTTAACGGCTTTCAGCTTTCTTTGAAATATCTTCTTTAGTGTTTTCTTTAGTGAAAGAAAATTGAGTGAGTAAATTGTGAGTAAATGTTCATTTTAGGGTGATCTATCCCTTTAAAATGTGTTAAAGGGATGTGTTAAAATGTTTTTCTCAGATGGAAATGGAACACATTTGACAAGCTATATTAAACGTTATGTAACAACCTGTGATTTTGAGCTAAAACTTCACAGACACACCATAAGGCTAATATACATGTATTTTATTTCATGAAAAAGGGCATATTATGTCCTCTTTAATCATTGTACGAGTGTAGAAAATGAGCTGAACTCATTCATTTAACCTTGTTTACTTGTTTCTGGTTCTAAAACTATATCAAAGAATTTCTTTTGATGTACATCTTGCAACTCGGTCAATGATTCAAGGACAATTTGTTCAGTTACTAAATAAAAGACACACAAAGTTTAGTAAAGAACACAATGGGTTTCATCTATCAAGGCCTCTCTAATACCCGAGGGAAAATACGAGCAACAGCAAACACTGACCTTTCCAGCCTACAGCACGGAGGTGAGACTGAGGCGCTTCACAGCAACTTTGGTGATCCTTCTCTTTTAGAAGGTTAACGGAGGAAGTTGCCTGAAATTCACTGTCTATTTTAAATTATTCAAGTGTCGTTTTTTTTTTATAACAGAAGTGTCTGCATAAAGGCTGAGAGTAAATAGTTTTCTCACTTGTCCTGAGGCCAAGAGCTTATTTTGCATCTTTTTAGTAAATCGAGTTGAACTGGCCTGCTTTTTAATGGTCTTAACTTTAGCTTATTTTTTAGCAGTTCTTTTTTTAAATTTTTTTAAAGAAAACATTTATTAAAAAGGTTTTTACTGTTCTAAAATACCGTTTAACCTATAATTTTATGATGTATATGCACCACTTTGTGGGCAGAAAGATTTTTAATTATATTATTATTTTTAAAATATAAATTCTTATTTTACACTCAAAAAAATGATATGTTGGCGTTAATTAACTTTTTTTTGTCCACTGGTTCCACGTAACCGAGTTAAGTTACCTTTAAGAAAGAATATTAATTTTAGTGAACTTAAGTTAGTTACATAAAGGTAATGTTGTTTAGTTCAATCAACGTAACATTTATAATTTAGCTTTAATCAATGTAGTTATTTAAGTTCAATTATTCTAAAATTGATAGTTATGTTTAACCAAATAAAAAAACAATTTCCGTTTCATTGAGTTTATTCAATAGCATTTTTTACAGTTTTACATATTTTCCAGCAATAAAATGATTATCAAAATCCAAATACTGTCTTTATCTGTATCTTCACTTATTACAATAAGTTAAAATATTAATACTATTAAAATAATAGTAATACAAGTATGAAGCAAATTGAAAACAATAAATGATTTTAAAAATATGCTTACAAAAACATCATAAAATACACTTTTCAAAATAATACTTTTCACATATTACATAAAACATTCAAAAATAATATTCTGCCTTCAAATGATTTATCAAAAATATACTTAGAAAAATTAAGTCTTCTTTTTTAAACTATACTGTACCTTCTTTACACTGAAATAGCAGATAACACTTCAGTTGTTCAAAGAAAGACTAACATTTTAAAGCAAAGTAACACGATCAGCACTACACCATAAATAAGACCAACCATCACAGAACATGCAATAGCTACACACATTCATCTCTCTGACACTTGCACCATTTATGCACATTTGCACCAGACACTTTCTTACAACCACTCCCTATATCTAAAAAACAAAAAACAAAACATTGTGCATGAAGTCTGCTTCACACAGGTGTGTGGGCTTGACAAACCACATGTAGAAGCATTCTTAATTCTTAAAATTTTTTTGTATAATTAGCACAACTTGGGTGTATTGCCTCTTCTTGTTGATTTGCTGAATGTCTCCACAATTGTAAGTCACTTTAGACAAAAGAGTCTGCTAAATGTTAATGTAACTACTGTAGATTCATAAGTTGGTGTTGCACATCAAGGTTTGCGCTTCATCATGCCCAGCATCCTAAAAAAGTCAGGTAAAAAAATAAAACATTTACCAACAGATCAAAGGTGAAAGGAGGAATTGGTTTAAGAGGAAAATACAAAATGTTTAAAAAAATTAAATAAAATAGCTTACCATGTACTCCCTCACTTAGGGGCTTTGAGGATGCATTCACACCTTTTTGTCCACTGGTGATGTTCTAAATGACATGAAATGACAATTAGTAATTTACTAAATAATTAGTAGTTAAAATTACTAGTATTTTTACTGTACATCATTTTAATGTGTGTGTAGGCATCTAAAGGCATAGTACCTGGATGATCCACAGTCTCCTCAGCCAGATATGGGACTTTAGAGGTTGAGCTGTAAACCTGTTTGGGAGAAAATAGATGTGAGTGAGCAAAGATTTAAAATAATAAAATATAATAATATAAATAGCAAACTACTAAACTTAAAAATTTAAACGTGTTAGATGACCAAACAAATAAACTTACATTAAATATGTCATCATGCTAGATGTCATCCTATTTAAGTGTCACAAATGCATTTTTGCTGATTTTTTTTTTAAGTTAACAGGCTTGAATAATACAATTAGATAATAAATAACAATGTGCCAACACCACATTTTAGTTAATATTATGTACGTTATCAAAACTGGCATTCAAACTCGACAAACTGCTTGACACTCATTTAAAATAAAGACCATCAAATCAAATAAAAAATCAAATCACTTTTATTGTCACATTATCAGCAGCACGTGTGCTATGATGAGTGAAAAGCTTAGACTATTCTAACATGACTATTTACTACCAACGTTTGCAACTTTATTTTGGGGGAGTTAATATATACCAAGTATAAAATTTCACAGGAATGCAAAACAAACTATACATTTATCTGTCTATAATGTGGAAAAGACACAGGGAACATGGCAATTTCATAGCAATACTATACACAAACACAACATAGTATTACAAGAGAGTACATTTATGATTCAAATGTTGTCACAGCCTCAGTATAAATACATAAAGTAAAAAAAATCTCACCTGTGTGTCCACATTGGGGAAAGCTTTGTGCACGTTCTCAATTTGTACTGTAATCTTCATCTTTTGATTCCCATAATATGGCGCCGAGCTGAGAGTGATCGTTGTGGTTTGAATCTTCTTACTTCCTGTGTTGTTTTGAAACTGCGCATGTGCAGATATTACTCCACCTATTGACCAAAATGCAGTACTACAGAAGCAACACAACTCCCTTTCATTCATGTTAATTAAGCGAGCTGTTTAAATGTAAAAACTTACTTTTTCTAATTTTTTCCAACACAACACTTTTATTTTTAATACACAAACATAAGCGAATTGTTTAATTTAAACATAGTTACATTCTTTGGACCAACTAAAGCCATAGTTCATTTTTTTGAGTGTAGTTTGTTTAATTATATTTTGTTTATACTACAAAAATCTACAAAAATTATATCAAGAAGCATTTCATAGACAAACATAAATGTTGTCTTTTAAAAAAAACTGTCAAAAATTTTTATATGTCAGAGTTTTTTCTTAAAACAAGCAAAAACAAACAAAAAAAAGATTAAATTCGTGTTTATTTCTATAGTGCTTTTACAATGTGGATTGTTTCAAAGCAGCTTAACATAGAAGTTCTAGTAAATTGAAACTGTGTCAGTCCAGTTTTCAGAGTTCAGTTTAGTTCAGGTCATAGTGGTTTAATTTTTACTGCTAAAAGTCCAACCCTGAAGAGCAAATCCATCGATGTGCATCTCCACAAGTCCTAAAACATCTGCCAATGGGGTAGGGTAAATAATCTTGTCAAAGTGAAGACTAGAATATTTCGCTTACCCCATTGGCAGGTTATTTGCTTGTTTTAAGGAAAGACAATTTTTGGTATTTTTTGCTTGTCTAGAAAATGCTTCTTGATTTAAAAATTGTTTGATATTTGAACTAAACAAGACAAAAGCTCTAAGAAAACCTTTAATTTTTTTTTCTTGTAGTATATATTACAATCTCCTCAACATATTAACCGTCATATCTGTGATTGATTATAAGCAGCAAATGTTCAGTACTCAGCAATTCAAGCCTTGCCATCAGAGGAATAAAATACATTTAAATATATTATAATTTCATATTAACATTTATTTTATAGTTTTTAATGTAATTTACAGTATTTAGGATTTGCTGCATTTTAATTATGGCTTTGGATGCCTTTCCAGCCACAACCCAACACCAGGAAAATTATTTTATTTTATTTTTTATTTTATTTTATTTGTTTATTTATTTATTTAATTTATCTTGTTTATCTAATGAGGTTGTAATTCATTCTAATAGAAATATTATCCTTCTGCAACCTATGCTTGGTCTACAACAATTTCACCTGCTGGAGCAATAAACAGAAAGTTTTTCAAATCTACTGAATGTTGTTTTAATACCTCAGCACTTTTTTATTTGTTCATCTGTAGTCTTTAGTAGTCCTAAAGGCAGAAAAGGAAATAAACAGATGTATTTTCTTTGCAGGGTCAGCAATAAACTCCTTTATTTAATTGTGCACTCTTGACATCTAAATGAAAATCTTGTGTGATTGCTGGAAATAAACAGCTGCAAATCACGCAGGATTTTACCACTTGATATTATGATCTCTCTGATATCACCTGCAGTCCCGAACTTCAATAATATAGCAATTAGGTCATTATTAGGATGATTATTTTTTCATTTTACAGTATTCCTTACTTATACTCTGCCCTGTGTGTGTGTTATTGTTTCAGTGGCATCCCTGGGAAGAACTGCGGTACCATTATTCTCACTGCAGAGGAACTTGGAAACTGTCGGGTAAGTCAGCAGTTTTAAGGTACTTCATCCTCCACAGAATAGTTTTTACTCTGATATAATTGTTTTTTTTTCAACCCCCTTTTCTCTTCGAAATGCTTGCAACTATTCAGCAGCGAAAACCTTTACTGAAATGATTCACTTTGATAAGAAAGCTGACTGTTTTACTCTTGAGATCAGACCATTCATCGCCTGGCAGCTAAATACATTATTCCTGAGAAATGAACAGCGGGCTAAAATTTAAGTTATCTCCACAGACAAAAGGAAAACAACTTAAAAAGTCATTTTAACACCAAAGCTATTTTTTTTATTTCCTTTTTTACTTGCAAAATATTTAAAGCATAAATAATGGAGCAACACAAGTCGTGGTATTTGTAGTCACAGGTTTACATCATTATTTCATACTTCTACCATGTATTATTGACCATCTTTTACACTGACCTTAACTATGTAAAGACTAGAATATGGACTGAAGGAGCAGCAGTTGAAAAATTACAGACAGTTCAATAGCGAAGATCACTACTGCAATGCCTGCTGGGTGCGATAAAAGCTTTTGATCTAATAAACAGGATAAAGTTCAGGATATAGTTCCTGCTATGCTACTTTATGGCCCGTTTCCACTAAGTGGTACAGAACGGTACGGTACGGGTAACCTTTATCAGGCTTGCGTTTCCACTGCCAAAAGGGTACCAGTGGTACTTTTTTGGTGGGTGTGGTGTACGACAGAAAGTTTTAGTTGACGCCAATCTCGCTCGAGGAAATGTCAAAGTAAATCTGTACGGGTCGTTATGTTACCAATTACAGAAAAACTACACACAGCATACCTTTAGTCCTTATTTGGGTTCAAAAACAACACGCAACATGTAGCCCGAAGTCAGTGCAAACCTCTCATTTATATCTTTAATTTTCGTTAGTTTTGTCGAGCCTCGCGTTTGTCCATTTCTGAATAGATCGAGTGTTAGAAGTAGTTCAATAATCACGCGCCCGTTATTATCATGAGCTCAAGAAGTTTGTTATTTCAAATATAGACGTGCGGCAAGTGCACAAGAACGTGAAACTGCTTGCGCTTTAAGAGGCCTCGCAAAAGAAAAACAGGGCAGATTTTGTTCTTCCTAGCTTTATGGCTGTTCATCAAGGCGACGACAAGGTTTGTCTGAGCTCGGGTCGATCATGGCTAGTTATTTTATGTATATAGTATAAAGATGTAATGTTTCATCTGTGTAATTAAAAATGGCGATTCCTTTGTTTTATTCTCCTTGCTTGTTTTTTTTTTTTTTTTTTTCGAAAAATTTTTTTCTGTTTTTTTTTTTTTTTTAAATTTCCCAAGTGCTGTTAACCGAGAGATTTTTTTTTCAACATAAAACATTTATAGTTATTAGAGTAGTACTTAATATTTTACTAGTTATTTTGCAAGTCTTTAGCTGAAAGTGCAATTCCAAAGGTTTAACTAGGTTAAGTAGGTTAGCTAGGCAACTTAGGTTAATCATTAATTTGTTTGAAAGCCAATCAAGATAAAAAAAATCTAAAGGGGTTGAATAATATTAATCAGTTTAATGATTTTTTTATAGACTAAAAGAAATAAAAATTTCTTCAGAAAATATGCTCTAATAAACATCACTTGATAAATATTTCAAAAGAAGTCAAATTTCACAGGAGGGCTTTTTCATAGTTTTTTATAGTAATTTGCTGCCTAGTTAAAACTGTAACTAGCAAAAATTGAGCGGTTGCACATATCAAATGAACAGGTTCAGTTTTTCTTACATTTTTGCACCTGCCATGTACTTTTAAAGCAGGAGTGTCCAAACTTGGTCTTGGATGTCCTGCATATTTTATTTCCAGCCCCAATTAAACACACCTGAACCAGCTAATCAAGCTTTCCTATGTATACCAGAAACTTCCAGGCAGGTGAGTTAAAGGAAGTTGAAACTAAACTGTGCAGGACACCGGCCCTCCAGAACTGAGTTTGGACACCCCTGTTTTAAAGCATTCAATCAAACCTGAAGCAAAATTTTATCTGATATCATCAGTTAAACCATTTAACCACAGTGCAAATAAACTGTCTACTCAATTTTACCAACACTAACCAAAAGCTGAACTTATGTAAGGTTTGTGTAAGAAGTAAAGATGGATTTCTTTGTAACAAATTCTTTCTTTTAGGAAACAATACTTCTAAACTTTGAAAATTTGCTTGCAGGAATATTGCATGAAAGGTAATATCTGAAAAAGCATTATAGGGACACCTTAATATCAGTTCTTATCAGACAAAAAGATGATGAAATTGCCAACGTTTTCAATGATGCAATAACTAGTACCATAGATTGAGTAAATACAGTCTGGGTTTTTTAAAATTATGGCCTCCTCACATAAATTCCATTTCAATAGTCCATTTCAAAAACGGACTGTTAGGTGCTGATAATGTTCCGTATGAACTCTCAATGTGTCCATAGAAGCTCTTTAGACACCTTTGTAACATGCAATATTACTTTCTGCATTGATTGTCTGGCCCCAATAAACAGGAGAGGATCATGCATCAGGCATTAATAGTCTGCCTATGCATTTTAAATTTACTGTGATGCAAGTATTTTTTGTTGGTGGATACCAAAGGCCCTGAGATGGTATCATTGAAAAGCACTAAATGGAGGCTTCTCTTTTGCTGAAATTTTCTAAACACATTCAACATGGCTTATTATCGTTAACCATAGCCATAAAATGTAAATAATTTTTAGTTGTTTGAAAAAACAACAACTTTTAAATAAATAAATAAACATGAAAGAAAATAAAGACTAATACATTTGCATTAAAAATATTACAAATTTACTTATCAGAGCAATATTACACAATATTACAGTATCATTTTAATGTTAAATGTTTTATTTTAATAATTTCTTTGATTTTATATTGATTTAATGATTTAAGTCAATATCAATAAAAACAGCAAACGCACATTTCTGTAGATTTTTTTTATATCAACATCCCACCAGTAATGACACTTATTTACTTTTCATGAAATAATAAAGTTTTGACTTCATTTCAAATGTAGCAGACATTAATTTAGGATTCACTTTGATGGATTGAGTCAGTTCATTCTCAATCAGTACAGAAAATGTCTTCGTGGGATTCATTAAAAGATTAAAGCGAGAATTGTTTTTAAATGCAGCCAACAAAGATAGTAGAACATGTTATAATTTCCAGTCCATAGCAATTTTATTTAACCACATTCCCCCTTTCATCTCATCCACAGCCAATGTAGATTTACTGGTGGAGGTCAGTGATCCTGAAAAAAACTTTACCATCCCTCCCATCTCTTTATCATGTCTTTTCTGTGAAATGTTCCTGTTTCGTTCTTCTGTCTAGTAAAGTTTATTCTGTCACCGGTGATAGTGCTCATTAAACAGCTGAAATAGCAGCGCAGAGTAAATTACAGCTTTTCCGGGTTGTAAATGGGCATGTTGCATTGACTACAGGCTCAAACACACACAAAGGACTGCTCATTTGAGAGATCTATTGCACGCGCTCACAGCCTCACTCAGGCTCATTTGAAATGCTCAAAAAGCTTTCCCCCTCTGTGATAGTAATATATTGCTCCATCTGCTTGATCTATATATATTTCACATGCTAGATCAAAAGATTTTACAGGATGTTATGAGAGGATGGTTTTTGATCAGGTGCATGCAAAAAAATGGCTTTGAGGAAATGCGTCATGTGGAGATTAACCCAGTGTTTAATAGAAAGACCAATGTTTTGAAATATCTTGGAAAGTGTCTATGAAAATTCTGTTATTATTTACTCACCTTCACAAGGTTTCTGTGAGATCTTAAAAAGTCTTAAAATGCATAAGATCTCAAAATCAAAATTTTAGGCATAAAAAAGTTATACATTTACTGAAATATTGTGTTGGAGGTCTTAAATCCTAATTTTTCTTTGTTACTATATTGCTACCCAATCTGGCCAAACCCATACAATCAATCCATCTCAATAAAACTTGGATACATGTAGAGCTTGCATGTTTTTTCTAAAAGATATGTAAAATATTTCAACTTTTTTTTAAATATTAATGTATTATTGTATTATTAAATGTATTAAATTAATAAAGATCTTTCCTATCTGGGCCATTTGAAAAAATCTTTAGCATTTAACCTTTTATGGGTCTAAAATTTCATTCATAACGGTCTTAAAAAAAGTCTTTAAAAGTCTTAAGTTCAACTTTGTCATACCTGCAGAAACCCTGCTTCATGTCATTTCAAGCTCATGAGATTTTTGTTTATCTTCAGAACATAAATAAAGATTTTTTTTTTTCAAGTTGACTAGCCTTTCGTTATGTACTGTATGTGGCAAACTGTTTATGACCATTATAATAACATTTTTTGATTGCAAAGCCATAACATGCATTCTTGACTGTTGATGGTTTTCCCTGTCGGAAAAAGATAAAATGTTTTATTTTTACTGTTGATCAGTCGGCAGCATTAACCCTTTAGATATCTATCTGATATCTGTATCTGCATTTATTCTGAGGTATTTACTCTAATATTGTCTTTTATATGAAGTTCTATGGAGTAAAACAGATTATAGTGTGTGCGCAGAAAAACACTTACTTTGTTCTGAGAGCTGAGCTTCTTATTTAAAATTTCTCAGACATATCAAGATAAGTGTGCAAAGGTCTCTATCTCACACACACACACACACACACACACACACACACACACACACACACACACACACACACACACAGACACACACACACACACACACACACACACACACCACACACACGCTCGCTATACTCTGTATAGAAGACTAAGCTTTTTTTGTGCACTGCAACTGATGATTAACGGTAAATTTTTTCCCATCAGGGAAAACCAGCAACAATCAAGAATGCATGGTTATGTGGTGTCAAGGCTTTGCAAAAGATTTGACTATAATGGACGTCAATAGGGCAAAAACAGCCACAGACATCACAACAGGTAGTAAATTTGCCTAGAATGTGTTATTTGAAAGTTTTCAAA